ACCAAGATTGCCGCCCGTACTGGCAAGTGCTTGATCTTGATGATCTTACTAAAAAAAGTAGAGGACTGTGCACTGTCTAAGCCTATTCTGTTGTTTTGAATAACTTGCTCAGAGGGCTGAGATTATCTTGCACAACCAGGGTATTTTTACCACTTATATTATTATTACCCTCAGTTAATGTCTTTAGCCAATAAGACCAAGAAATCTTAATTTTAATGTAACACCAACCCCTCCCCTTAATGCTAATACCAACTTCTCACTTAGGGCAACATGTTGGGTTAGAGCAAAAGCCATAATAGAACTTTGTTGGGGGAGGGGTTGGTAAGACGTTTCCCAGAATCTCATACTGTTCCAATTAATAAATACTTTAAATGACACAAAGTGGCATAAGGCAGATTACTTGGCCTTTTGACCCTTTAAATCATATTTTTATTCATTCAAAGTATTTCCCTGATTCTGATTGGCTATGTTGACCAAATTTGGAAGAATTTTGTGTTTAATGAACCGATGACGTCAAAAGTGCAGCTTTCTTGCAGGTTAATGCACCGTTAACAGAGAAGACCAGGAGATGAGGTTGAGTTGTTTTGGTTGTGAAAACAAAAATGGCAGACATTTCACTTGTTTCAAGAGTAAGAACTAGGCGAAATCGTAGCTAAAAACATGGCAAGAACAGCAAGAAGACAACTCGAAGGGTGACATCTGCTATTTGGAGAATATTTGCAGAGCTGAACAACCATAAACGTGCACTATTGAAGATGAACTTAACATCGATAGAGGTAACCATGTTTTAGCTAAGTCTAAAGTTTTTGAACTACGAATTATTTTGAATGAATAATAAAACAATTATTGAATTTGGCTTTCGTATCATGTGAAGAATTATGGAGATCTTGGAGGGTGTTATGGCCTCGACGGATAACGGAGAGAAGTGAAAAGGGACTGATACTCAGGCTAGAGACAACTCCATGTAGTAAAATGGTTAGCACAGGACTTTGGCTGGATCTTTGTAAGATTCTGGGATCCTCCACTAACCCAACATTTTGCCCTAAGTAAGAAATTAGTTTTAATGCTGGGTTAGGGGAGGGGTGAGTGGGTAATTATGTAGAATCTTACACTGGTCCCTTAAGGAATCAGACCATGCACAACTATGATAGTAGACCTTTGACAGAGAGAATTTGAGAATGACCCTACATACAGTTGTCCCCTCTTAAAATTTTGTAAGGGTTGACAAACCAATTATTACACTTAAACCTAAGGAGTTGTACTTTAACCGCTACAAAGGGGAAAATATCCATCTCATTCAGAAAAAAGGAAAATCCCACTGAGATTTTCTAGACTGAGTGGGCAAAGATAAAAAGGTTTCCAAAATGTTTTTTTAAAGACTGTATGGATTGTTATTACTCTTGTAGTTCCATACTCAAATGATCTCTACATTACAGACTCTTTTGCTGTTTTTAAGAAGGTGACACATGTGGGTGGCAATTGAAAACCACAGGAGATGAGATGGGGGATTCTTCCTCTGCTGTGAACCTTGCCATGTACAAAAATCCCTTACAGCTTTGCTTTTTGTTGGCTTTGCCACAAAGAAACACTCATGAACTATGATCCATCTCACTATGCAGGCTAGGTGAGCATCTGAGTGCTATTTCAAAGATCATGCCAACTACTTTGTTGTTGACATGTGTAAAGAAAAGAAAAAGAAAAATGAATGAAACAATTCAGTGGACAAAAACCAAAGTAACCTGAAAATGTTTGAATTGTCTCTTCCTCTTGCACCATTTACTGGTTCAATGACTACAAATAATATTGAACCATTCAAAACGTGCACACTTTCTTCACCACACGGATGACTTAGCCATTGGCTGTAGAACTAACTTGACCAGTTGAAAGTTCTTTCCACAGTCCACCCAAAAACTTTTTGCATTTCTGAATGTGGGAAGAACTTGAAACAATTGGAAGCAGTTTGGTACAAAATGGACAGGAGACATGTTGAACTTCTCTGATGTGTTCAATAAGCTTTTCTGTAGTCTTGCACTTTTTCCCACATCCTTGACAAACATGTACGGGTAATGTTGGTACTTCCTTCTCTACTGAAGTACTTGAGCTGACCTTTGGGCACGTCTTCTTGTCTGCTTTGAGTGCCGGGCATGTTCTTTGGTGACTTTTTTCGATCTTGGCCATAAAAAACTTACCGTACTTGCACTTAGCATGAACCATATTCAGGTGTTGGGTAAGGTCATTGTTGTCTTTGACCTTTTTGTTACAAACATGGCAACGAATTTTACCAACAGGTACAGCTTTTGTGGGCTGGGCAGTCTCACCATTGGCATGAACTGTCTTCATGTGTTGCTCGAGGGCAACCTTGTCTTTAACCTTTTTGTTACAAACATGACAAGGGATTGCCTCAACAGGTGGAGCAGTGATGCTGGTATCACCGTGGCTTGGAGCCACAGTAGTGCCAGCATCTTTCATACGTTTCATGCACTGGTAAATTTTGAGCCCTATCCAAGCATCCAGAGCTGCATAGTGGATCTGTTGAATCCTCAATGGGAATTTTTCCCAGTTGCTCTTGGAGACGGACTTTGGCTTGCTAAGTTGAACTCCAAGGAATTGATCGGCAAGAGCCTTCAGTCCAAACTTGCTAGATCGTGGGACACCCACAGACCTGGCCAATGTCTGCGTATCCTCAAACCCAACACATTTCAATCTAGTGTCTCGCTTTAATTTAGTGACATCCTGCAAGATGCCACTTCCAACTTTGACAACCTTTGTGTCAGTCAAAACAGAATTGAGATAATTGGGCATTGTATCCATATGGTGCAGATGTAACACCAGGCAAGACTTTTCCACAGCCAGCTGAAGAACAGCAGTCTTGTTCTCTTTTCCTCCCTTCTTCTTACTTACAAACTGTGGCTTCCACTCAATGTCAAAACCAACTGCAGACACATCACAGTCAACTACATTGTTCCTCAACCAGGCATCAGCCTCAACCGAGTCAGCTGTATAAACTACTTCTACACCTTCTGCTGGGTATGGAAGACTGCGAATTAATGTGCGATTTCCAGCAGTGGCTTGGTTGTCTTTCTTATCACTTTGCATTCTCAGTAGACACGTGTCTTCAACAGAATCTTGAGTACCGGTATTTTGCATCAGTGGTGGATCAAACGGTATGTTTGGCACTACAGGAGATTTTCCTCTTGACTTAATGTTTAAAAGATGGCGAAGATCTTCAACATTGTTATTTGGTGGATTGTGAAACAATGTTTCATTGGGCATGTCTCTTTCTTCACTCTGCCCTTCAGTGAGGTAGCTACAGTTATATCTACTGTTTGTCCCATTATAATATAGAGTTTCATTATGACCATTTCTTTGACCAGTGGCATTGAAGGTAGCCTCGTCATCACACAGTTGATCGTGATACAACGTTTCATCAGGGGTAAGTCTTCCATGAGCATGAATTGCAAGGCTGTAACGGCCATCATCACCTTCATTGATTGGCGAGTTACAATGCAGTAGTTCATAGGGCATGTGTGTTCTCTTAACCTGTGTAACTGTAGGGTAAGCAGCTTCATTAATATTTTGTCTTTTATGAAACAGCATGTCTTCAGTAATGTACCTTCCATGACCCTGCCTAGTACCAAGGTTGGTATCATCACCATTATCATCATAATAATTAGGCCTATCATGAGACAATGTTTCATTAGCCAAAGGTCTTCTGTGACTCTGATTGGTAGCATGGTAGCTGTCTTCAGTGTAATTATTTGATGTATCTTGATACAATGCTTGACCATAGGACTGATAACTCTCATTGCTACCACCATATGACATTCTATCTGCAGAATTTCTCCTGTAATTTTGCATTGGATAAACAATTTTTGTATCTGTTGGTATATGAATCAGATTGTGATCTCGGACATTCCTACCATAACTCTCATTTGCAGGTTGATGTGTTTCAGTACTGTACATCTGGTCATCATCAGCAATTGTTGATGTACTACTATGTCTGTGCTTTGTGGCACGACGTGCGTCTTCAATGTAATTTGACACATTGGCAATCAAATCTCTGGGTATATCATCACCAGGTAAATTTCTGCCATAACAAATCTTTGTAGCATAATCCACATCTAAAGTATGCTGACGTTCTTGTCTTCTTTCTCTCAGTATAGTGGTGTCTCTATCAGAATGGCGTGACCTTGCTGTCAATGTCTTGGGTTTATCAACAGGCTCTGATTTAACACGAACTGGTGGGCTTTCAGGTCTACTTTCTCTCAGTGTAGTAGTCTCTCTTTCAAAATAGTAAGACCTTGATGTCATTGTGTTGTGATCATCATCGGGCTCTGATTTAACACGAACAGGCACTTCTTTGTTCAGCCACTCTCCTTCCGTGTCATTCCAAAACCCTCTGCTTGTTGCATAACTCCGTGAGCATGAGATTTCTTGATAACGCATGTGCAATGGCAAATCCTCATCACTTTCGATCCTCTCTTTCTTGATTTTTCGAGCAGACTCTGAGAAATCTTCAGCCTTCTCTTCCTCAAACTCCATTCCTTTCCTCTTGTGAATGCGATCGTTTATGTGTTCCGTTTTGCGGCGTAACAGGTAATCCCATGCTCGTTCGCCACTAGCTGCTGCTGAATGTGAAGACGAGTCGTCAGCATCATCTCTTTTTGTAGACTCTCTGCTAATCCGAGAACTTCGGGTGCGCGGTCGTCGACTGTAATATCTGGAGCTCATTTCGAAACTCCTTTATTTCCCAGCTTAATTCTTCGGTACTGCTAAAAGCTTTCTGGGTTAAAAAAGGCAAATTATCAAGCCAAACTCTGTCGAAGAAACAAGAACTTTGCTCTGTTTGCAAAACAAAACCAACACAGAGCAGAGAGCGTGAATGATGGCGAATGAGCTGAGGAACCAAGCCTTGATGAGCCTTGATACATGAAGCGGAGTACTGGGTCAAAAAGCTGCGTCAGGATGCCGCGGTGAATTGTGGTTACGTCTGATTCAAAATGACGGAAAGATACAGCTTTAGTTTGACAACTTTCAGGTACTTTTTATTCCTTTTTTTCTTTTCCTTTTCCCTCATTTATGGTTTGAAATTAATTGAAAACAGTCTAGCTAATTGTCTACGGAATTAGATGGAGATTGAGGGAAAAATATCCATGAAATCGATGGCTGGATTTTCGGCTTTCGATGAAAACTTTGGGTTTTTGGTTAAAAAGAGAGGATGAAATTAATCACATTGTCTTGCTGTTAATTTTTTCTTACTCCCTATGAAGGTTTTTTTGACGGTTGTAACACGTTAAAGACGTTAAATAGTGAAGATGTTTTAATTGCCCATCGATTCTTTCGTAGTCATGGTTAAGCTCCAGTATAGTTAGCACGTGTCAGCTGGTTAGGTGTTTTCGAATGTCAATTTCACTGGGGCAAAGACAGGGGAATTTTAAAGTCTTAAACAGTACTAGCCTGCCCATCAGAACAATTTTGTTTAAACAATGAATGGAAAAGAAAACAGACATAAGCACAGTATCTTTTATCATCAAACTTGTTTGCAATCATCCCCTTGATCCTGTTGACTGTGGAGGAAGGTAAGGGTGAGGGATGGGGGTTGTTGAGATCTGGAGCTTCTTATTCTGAATGAGTCTGGATTCATTTTTTTGGTAGCCATACTCCCTAGAAGCCTAAATTCTCTACCGTACCCCAGAGCAGGGAACCCAGACATGGGAGTTAACGTTTATCCCTATTGAAGAAAATATCTTGTCTTTATTCTTCTTTTTTACTATCACAGTTTTCTCTATGATCACATCTTTCCTTCCTTTTTGCCCTTCCCCCCCTTATCATCAGTGCCATGACCGCCAGTGGCAGCATTTTGTGTGTTCTAATTTTTACCAATTTATTCTGTCTCCAATAATCTCTAGTCCCTCAGGAAAGCTTGTCCAGATTGAATATGCTCTGGCAGCAGTTGCTGCAGGAGGACCTTCAGTGGGAATAAAAGGTAAACTGACATGCCAACATCAACTTCATAAAATGTCTTTTGAGTGTTATCAATGCATTATCCAGTACAGTAAAATCCCCCTGTACGGACACCCGCTTAAAACCGACAGTCATGTGTACCAGAGATTATGTTTGTCTTTACGAAAAGCTCTTTTTCTTCTCTAAAATTACCCTGATTACTACAGACACAGGTTAATATGGACAGTGGACACTTTTCTGGGTCGTGAGTTACAAACTCTCATATATCGTCTAACCCCCTTTTACGGACACTGGTTACCTGCACATTGTGTATTTCATTGTCACAATCATGTGCTAATTGCAGACATTGTACTCAGTTATGATGATGACAGATTTCTATGAGTTAAAATGATTTTAGTAGCAAAATTGCGTGACATCTTTCTTCCCCAGTTTGACCCTTGTACTGAAGCCATTAAACAAAGTTTTTACCTCCTGCTACACAGTTTGACTTTCTTAGCATTTTGCTGTAGTCTGGGTCCCACCATTCTTCCTCTTTGTCTGTTTTAGGCTTAATACAAACACCCGGATACTATGGACTTTAATGACATGTTCACATTAAGTATTGTAAAAGCTCACCAAACTACCAAACCGATGGCCTTCAACAAATCAACATCCCTTGTTTGCGTTCTCAGAAATCAGAAAAATGGTGTCAGAAAACTGAGTTGGCACTGCTTGTGGTTTTACTGTAAACGTGATTGCCTTTATTTTTGTACTGTCACAGACACAGAAGTTTTGCTTTTTTTTTTCAGCATCAAAAGAGTCAAACCATAGTGTAGTTCAGATAGTTTAACTGTAACTCAGTCTATAAATATTTTATAAGTATAGTAGATAAATGGAATGGCTCAGACATATACCCCTTGTGAAGGAAAACAGGGAGACACTTTTTAGCTCTGAAGGAGCTGATGATACATGTAGGAGCACCTAAAGCATGAGCCTCTAGGAGGTTCCCCCAGAAAATTTTGCTAATTAAGGTTCTCTTAAGTGCCATTTCCTTCATTTTGACATAATTTCTGAGTTATTGTATAAGGTTTTTATTCTTATCACATTGTGATATTTTGAACAATTATTCCTTGAGCCCGAATGGGCTCTGAGTCAATAGCCCATGAGGCCTGAAGGCCGAATGGGCCATAAAATCCAACTAGTTGGTCAAAAATTTCGAGAATAAAAAACTTTTAGCTAGTTAAAGCTAGACTTTAACCCTTTTTGCCGCCAAAATGCCCCCACTTTTCGCTACTAGTGGGCTATAACATATAGCCTAGTAGTAGCCCAACCAATCAGAATGCAGCATTGATAATAGACCACAAGTTGGATTTTACTAAAATGCTTTAGCCTCAGTAGAACCGTTGAACCTAAGGAAAAGTTTTGAAAGGTTACAAGCAACTTAGCTTGTCAATTCACTTATCCTTACATTTATGTATGTGTTATTTCTTAAGCCTCCAATGGAGTTGTCCTTGCTGCTGAGAAGAAACAGAAATCGGTTCTCTACGACGACAGCACAATCAACAAAGTGGAAATGGTAACCAAAAATGTTGGTATGGTTTACAGTGGAATGGGACCAGACTATAGGTATGGATGAAGGATGATGGACCTTGATGGATTGAGGTTTTAGGGTTGATTTAACTTTTGCCATATTAAACACTGTCCTGATCACCTAATAAGCTCCACCAATATAATTTAACTCCTGGTAGCCCTGGCTATTAGAACCCGTTGGCCCCTGGGAAATTATTTTTCCTTGGGGTGACAAAATGTAACTTATACTGTTTGCAGGTAAAATGTGTTCTCACATTAAACCATTAGTCAACCTATGTTAGCAACCTACGTTAGTGTGATTCAGAATTTCTTTTGTTTCCTAGCCTGAATTATTCATAGGAGACAAATGAAATTCTTTTATGACCTGAGAACTGATTTTGTGTTAAGCATAAACACTTAGCACCCAAGATTTGATAAGTTCAGAGGGTTCACACTTATACCTTTTCTTTGATGACATCCTTGACTAGTATTAGTAATGATAACAAAGCACACTAAGCAAAACTTTTTATCTTATCTTACCTAATAAAAAATTAACTTGATTTTTGCAGTTAAGTGTACTTGTTGCTCGCATATGTATGATGTCAAATGGTATGCTTCTTGTCTTGCAGAGTTCTTGTACGTCATGCAAGAAAGATTGCCCAACAGTATTTTTTAATGTATCAGGAAGAAATCCCTACCGCTCAACTGGTTCAAAAGGTTGCATCTGTTGTTCAAGAATATACTCAATCAGGGTAAAACAATGTTTATTTCTTTCTGTGTGAAGTATCATGTCTGTACTCCTTTGGTACTTCTGCAGAATTTATTATTATTATTTTTTTGAACAGTTTTTATTGAATTACTGCACTTTTCACAAAAATGCAAATTCTGAAGTTCAAAAGCCACCTGACGATTGTGTTTTTCGCTGCTGTTAATCATCTTAACGGACCTCTTAGGAAACAAAACTTTACTTTAATGGGTTCAAAAGGTCAAGGTTTGTGACTTGTGATTGGTGGATTTCGATCCGTTTTGTGTGTTTCTGTGTTTCCAGGTTCGTTGCTTGTGATCGTAATTATGATTGATGGCAGCGAAAAACCTAATTGTGAAGGCGGCTTTTGAACTTTAGAGTTTGCATGTTTGTGAAAAGAGCAGTAAAGACAACTTTTACAATGTTATTTAAGAATAAACTTTAATTAAATCAATCAAATTATACAATTCTACTTTAAAAAAGAAAAAAGAAAAAGGATAACAATAACAACGAAAAATATATATATATATTACAACAACTACGATAACAATAAAGATGCCTGCTAATTTTTACGAACCTCTGTGTATCAACTATTACTAAGTGCATTAGTTAGCTTCTCCCACTTTTGAAAATGAAAAATTTATATAAATGAAGAATTTATACGCTTCAGCCAGACTCCACTCACTGAACTACTGGAGACTATAACAGTGGCTTTTGATGTGAAAACATTTCAGAATATTTTTTTACTCTTCTAGAATAGAAGAGTATGGAAATAAATGCGCGTTATCATTTTCAGTGGTTCTGGAAATAAAAGGCAAATTTCCTTTAAGCTCAGTAGTTGATGTTATAAAATAATATAATATTGTGAAAAGTAGCTTGTTGCAGGACTTTAAAGGTGCTAACATTGCTCATCATGTCTATTTTCAGTGGTGTGCGGCCATTTGGTGTGTCTCTTCTTGTTGCTGGCTGGGATGACGACAGACCTTATTTATTTCAGTGTGATCCTTCTGTAAGTCCAATTATATTGTTTTTTAACCTTTCCAACATGGCTTTCAATAAGACCTGGAACACCATTCGGAGTTCCAGCATATACATGTATGTATATTTTGTTGTGAGTCACCACCTACACCAACGCATGCTAGATCTGCCCCAGATTGAGAACTACTTTAGCTTGCTCTGACCTCCCCTCTCCCGCCCCATCAATCTTGTAACAGTTATTGTAACTGCCAAGCTTAAGCTTAACTGTCAAGCTTAAGTGATAAAAAGTTCTTAAAGTTTTGAAAACTGTTTCTGTTGTTCAGACCTTGCTGAGAGTACCTGAAACATGATTTTGGCCATGTTGACTTTTGAGCTAACTCTCCCCACATGTGTTATGGGAAATGTATAGAGAATGGAGAGGAGAATATCCATACTGATATTGTGGATTGAGCAAGTTTTGTTAAGCAATCTCATATTTTTGTTTCAGGGCTCCTATTTTGCTTGGAAGGCCACAGCCATGGGTAAAAACTATGTGAATGGCAAAACATTCCTTGAAAAGAGGTACAACATTATTTTTATTTTATTTGGTGTACAGTGTAATTTAAGTATTAATTTACGTTTCTGGGAAACTGCCCACCTACCCCTCCCCTAAGCCAAGAGTAACACTTACTTCTCAGTTGGGGCTTAGGTGAGGGGTGGGTGGGTAGTTTCCCAGGGAACCTAAATTGATGAAGTGAAATGGCATTATTTTTATTTATGTTGGTTGTTCCCTATCTTTCCAGATACAATGAGAATTTGGAACTAGAGGATGCCATTCACACTGCTATTTTAACTCTCAAGGTAAGAATCAGCCAGTTGTAATTTAAACTTTTCAAAAGAAATGTGCTAGTTAAAACACAATTATGTATTTGTTTGATTTATTACAGCAAAACCTCTGCTTATGGTTAAGAAAAGTTGACCTACCCATCAGCCCATGTACATGTAGATAAGCTCATTGCTCGTCTTGCAAATCTGACGCTTGCTTGGCGAGCATCCCTTACACTTTTGTAGCCTGTGAACAGGCTCACTTGTGGAATTCAGGGAAAATTTTGAGCCTAACTACTGCTACTGCCTTTGGCGCTCTCGTGGTTGACTTGTGGCAAGTCTACATCTGCGGTTGATAAGAAAAAAATGACAAGGCAACTATACCGAGTCAGGTTCCCAGTCTACTTATGATTGATCATCCACTCTTTCACTCCTTATAAAAATGTTATAACCTGCATCTTTCTTTTTCACAGGAGAGTTTTGAGGGACAAATGACAGAAGACAACATTGAAATAGGAGTATGCAATGATCAAGGCTTCCGTCGTCTTACTCCTGCAGAAGTGAAAGACTATCTTGCCTCTATTGTATCTTAAAGTTAAATTTTTTCCTGTTGTAAGTTAAGAGCAATCTCCTTTTCACAACCAGCTAGTATTAAAGTTTCCTTTTGTGATGTGTGTATATTATGTCTTTTTGTCTAGGAACGAGGTGAAACTTTGATATATAGTTAATTCTCCTAAGAAGGACACGTTGATGGTTCTGGACCGACCCATACAGTCCGTCTTAGACAGAGTTGAAAAATGGGACACCAGTATAAGAAGCTAAGGCTGTGGGACGAATGCAGGTTTTTAGTAGAGGGGGTTTGATGAAAGAGGGCTGCCTTCTGCGGTCCCCCTGTAGGGGGTCCGGGGGCATTCTCCTCCGGAAAATTTTGAAAAATTCAAGTCCTCGGAAACGCGGTTCCCGCCATTCTGAGGCAAAGTCAACGTGTTTTAATATCTCATTTTTGAAAGTGAAAATGCCATTCTCTTTGCATCAAACTATAACTAAAACCTGCGTAACAAAGATACAAATTTGCATTTATAAAACTATGATAAGAGTATACTGCATTAATTTTATCTTTCGTCAAAGTCGGGATGGAAAAAACGTTTAAGATTGACTGTATTTTATTTCATATTTATACACGTTTTTGACGTTAGCTGTTTTAATTTAGGGGGTTTAATCGAACCCCCGAAACCTCCCTAGATCCGCCACAGAAGGCAGGACCTATTTGCAAAACAGTTGAAACTAGAACAATGTAAGAGAAAAGTAGAATCGAGTTCTTTTTGTGCAAACAAACGTCCATCACAAGCAAATGTTTGTGGCTTAGTGGTCTAAAAGCGTAAAAGTATAAAGTTTGCGAACTGGGATAAGACTACAAAGTTATAATAAAAACATTTTCAATTTAATGTCATGTGGAACACCTATATTCCCGTTTTGAGGTCTTTTTCACTACACAAGGCACTTCAAAAGGGTCCGTTGACAGTCTTAAATAGGGACTTTAAGACCCAACGACGCGACGGTGACAAGAACGTCGCTGAAAAAGTGAATTTGCGTTATTTCAGTCTTTATAGCGATTATTCCTACCCACTTACTTTGTCCATTGTAGGCGAACCCTCCTGAAGCTGAATTTCAAGGGACCAAATTCAAGCTCAGAAAGAGAAATAAAAGTTTCGTCGTTGCTTGTTTACGTCCTCCATAAAACGCGAAATTAGGCATTTTAACGTCGTAGTCGTGCAAAAACGGGAAAGAAATGTACAAAAAAGTGTGATGCACGTGCGAAGTTGTTGTTTTGCTAATTAAACCAATTGTTTTTTTGACGTTCTCGTCGTCCGCGTCGTTGGATCTTAAAGTCCCAAATGTGTCCGTTGTCCGTCTCACAGAGGTATCCATCTTATAGAGAGGGAGAGTATAGTTAAAGTTAAAAAAAAACGGCAGGACCATCACTACTGTCCTTCTAAGAGAGCTGTCTCTTGAAAAGTGGACAAAAAACTCCCAGCTACGGTGGGGAAGGGGGTGGCACCACTCCAAATGTTTACAACAGGAGTGTTTAACCTCTCATGTTTATTTCCCATTTTTAGACAAAATATTTATTTTCCCCTCCCCCGTTTCCGACCAAGAATGACCCCAGAGCCACATATTTAAAACACCACATTGTAGTTTATTTATAATAACAAGTTCTCCCCTTTGGATCGCTCTCGACTTCACCTCGTTGTTCAACTCTAAATGAGTACCGTTAAGTCAAACCGGCGGACCTTCGTGCCCACGGCACGTACAGGTCCGCGCGGACAGATGTTTCGAATTGGGTATCTAAACGTTCTTGCGTTATCCCGACTAGATCTTTCCTTTGCGTCTTCATTGAGCACCGTCTAACCGCATGCAATTCGTCCATCAGGCAAATAAGGACCCTTTGTTTCGTCCTAAGATTTTCGCGGGAGGTTTTCGCGCGTTCTACGCGCCAAAAATCTTTATGCTGCAGCACTCTCTTCATGCTCCGAGCACAAACGATTTAAAAGCCTTGAAACTACAGTCAGTAGAGTATCGTATGTACTGCCCCCTCTACATGAATTGTGGCTCCTTTCAAGGCAGAGTTTGTAATCATGTAGCGTCGAACACAACTGTTTATCAGAAGCATTTTCTCCTTTAAGTTGTTTCGTGTATAACGTCGTGCACATTTCCACAATCATCTTGCAAGAGTCCTCTGTCAGGTCAGGTCCAGAAACGGCACCTGCGAAAATAAACGAACACTGATTTGCAGTTTTTCTGCAGAATATTACCTTCAGCAAATCCCAAATTGCATCCGAACAATTGATACAATATCACGGAGGGAAAACGAAACTGATACTTTTCTGGGGTTGAAAGGGCTGAAAGGGAAGATAAAGACGAGCTATTGGCATAGCGAGCTTTAGCGAAGACAACGGCGAAAGCAGCGAAAATTTCACCCTTAGAATTTTGAGTTTTTCCAAACGCTGTTGCGATTATTCCAACTCGCTTAAAATGTAAAATGTGAGTGAATTTCCCTGGAATTGAAATCATGTGGACCAAACCCAAGACTAGATGGAGAAAAAAAACCGATGAAGAGCGACTTAAATACGCGAGCCCGTGTAAAAAGTGACCTGTAAAAAGTAGGGAGCTTATAAGCAACAACAGCGGCGACGGCTACGAAAACGTCACTTTTAAAAATGTGACTCGCGCTTATTCCATCTTGTTCAATTTGGCAAATTTTTCTGGAGTTAAATTCAAAATAGGACTGTATCGAAGTTCGGGAAATGAGAAAGAAAGTCGTTGTCTTGAGTTCACGTCCTCCACAAAACGTGAAATTAGGCACTGGGGTTTCACGTCGTAGTCGTGCAGTGACGGAAAGAAATGGAGAAAAAAGTGTGCTGAACGTGCCGGGTTGTTGTTTTGCGTATTAAACCTGATGCTTTTATGACGTTCTCGATTAATTCGCCGTTGTCGTTTTAAGCTCCCTTCTACGAACAGAAGATTACTTTTCAGCACTGAGCTTTCCCCCAAATTGCCCTTTTATATAGTATATGAATACATACGACATTGAATTGACACTGCTATAAACGCACTAACTCTTTCTGAAAATTGAAGCTCATATCGCAATTCAATCAAATTATCAGTTTTATAACACGAAATCTATTTAACTGATTTAAGCACATCTAGCAATGTACAACCATAAGACACTCTCTAATTCGATCGGATGATGTAAGAAGAAATTTCACACTGACTGTCCTTGCGTACTTTCGCAATCTATTAAATATTAGGATGTACATCAACAAAATGGCAAAGACATTATCCGTAACATACCTTTCGGTCTTTCCGCAAGCACCAGGAACGAGACAAGAAAAGCCATAACCGTCAAACGGGCTTGTACAGCCACAAAATCCCTCGCCATCATCCGGCCGCGAAGTTACTTTGCTGGTCACGCTGTACTCACAAATGACAAAGTTCAAGAGCTTTTGAGCGGCTGAAAAAATCTTCTGTTTTCTGTGTAAACATCGTTTCGCCCCAAAACATTCCAGCTTACGTTACTTAAAACTACAGATGTGATGAGCAGATAAATTTTTCACGGAGTTCGCGTGCTGATAAAACCAAAGTAGGGGGGGGGGGGGAGGGGGGTTCTCTAATGATCTTCTACATAGCTCCTTTTTTCTCTATTTCGCCCATGTCAGCTTGACCTATTCACCTTGGTGAAAACAAGGGACGATGTATTTTTAAAGTCAAATATATAACATGCTTTGTCGCATTTTAAGTTCAGTTATTTGGCGTCTGATAATTCTATCACAGTACTACTCTCTCACGAACTATCAATTGGCATTTGATTTCTGCTGAAGTGAAAATCCAAGAGATTTCCGGAAAGGTCAACAAGTATCTCGGATATCCGATATTCCACTATAAATCCTCTTCCATCGTTTTAATGGTTGCACGCAAAACTAGTTTTCAAACCCCACTACATATTAAGTTGTTTTACGTCTATCAACAAGAGACTAATGTCAGGCCTCGCTAATACTACAAGTTGCACCGCAATCAAAGAAAGAGGAATAAGAGTGTATACCTGTAAAAGGTAACCAAAACCATGAAGAACTCCCACGTGGCGGTGATTGATGAGAGGCCCTTGTGCCCGAAGGCGGGGGTGGGGGAGGGTAGTTCCCTATACAACTAACGGGGGTGCTTGTCGTACCTTTTAGGGGTTTAAATTTGTGAATTGGTACCGCTTAGGGTGCTGAAACCTAAAACGACCGCTGCCAGAGATGATACGCTTTATTAGGATAAAGATTTATGACGATACTTACAAAAAGTCCTTGAGAAGAGACTCGAACCTCGCGCTAACTCGAACCAATGTGGATTTCCCTCTTACATTTACTGTAATTTTACCCTCGGTAACTCGAACCCTCGATAACTCGAATCTCCCGCTAACTCGAAGTAATTTTTGTTTCCCTTCAGCTCATTTCTATACAATTTTACCCTCGATAACTCGAACCTTGTTATAAGCGCGTGACAAGTCGAGAAAAAAACCGTGTACTGAAGTCCGAAACATTGAATTTATGTCAAAACCAAGTAAATTCTTAGTCTTTAATTTTTCGTCACTCCAGTTCAAATTCAGTGTCCATTCCTGTATACCTCGTTGCTTAATTGCCTTTCTTTCCCATCCATCTGCTTATTTATTTGCTTCAAAATTTCGATAACTCAAATTAGAACTCCCGATAACTTGAAATTTTTTCGTTTTCCCTTGAAGGTTAGAGTTATCGGGAGTCGACTATGGTTTTGAATCGGTACCTCTTAGGGATGGAAATGAATTTGGGACACGCCCATAAAACAAGATTCTGGTACCTTTTAGGAGTGTTATCGAAAATTTCCAACGAGCACCCCCATCACCTTTATGTTTTTATTATGCTTCTGTGTCGACGATGAACTCTCCGTCGTCCCCAGTCGCTCGCGATTACTTTTTGCCGGTAGACGAGAAACCCTGGGAACGAGGTTGGTTTGAGTTAATTATTGTTATTGATTGAGCTCCCTCCCATCTCGCGCTTCTCGCTTGTTCCGTGCTCGCTACTAACCCTTGGCAGGATGGGCTCCTGCCCTTGGGAAAACATGTGGAGGAGACAGATCAGATCGGATGAAATGTATAGCTACCTACAACTTTTTCATCTGGCCCGTCCCCAGTCCTCTCTCACCTCTCATTGGTGGCGGCAGAGTTACATGATGCACTACCCCCCCGCCGCCGTGCGTGCGCCGGTACGCCCTCTACCCATAGGCTACATGCCAGGGGCTTCCCCACAACCCCATATTACTATGATCATGGCCTCCTGATTTAGATTATGAAGGGGGTAGGCAGCCTAGTATATTGTTAATTAGTATACTGTATATTGTCATTATATACTTTATGTTTTTTTAATTATTAAGTGTTTTTGCGATTTAACAAACAAAACAAAACTAAGCAAAAATCAATAACGAAAACATTGTTACTTATTGACAACAGATTTAGATCACGCAAAGCTAGAAGGAGGCCTTTTCGAATGACGTTTAGATCTAGAGAACTGTCTTTAAAGAGAGAGGTGTCCATACTATAGGAGTAGGGATTATATGCCTTTTTGGAACAAGAAAGCTGTCAGTTGTAGAAGGATGTCCGTAACAAGAGGCTCTACTGTATTTTGTTCTCAAAAAACAAACGGCGACATGACAAGACACATCAGAAAAGAGGATTTTGTATTTAAAAATGGTATCAACTCACTGCTCTACATCTTAAAGACAGCGGTAAGCATGCAAATACCAAAACTAAATACCTAAACCGAGACTAAAATTCGTCAGCTGTTCTGCTTTACGTATTACGATGAAAAAGGGCTTGTTTGCATGGATGTGGGGGACCCCAGGTAGGTGAGGTATCCTCTTAGGTGGGGTAACCCGACTGTCCATATAATCTCTCATTATAATTTGATCACGTTTACGTGAATGGTGGTGAGACCATACGAGAGATTATGTGGAAAGGGGGGAGGGTTACCCCACCTAAGCGGGTTACCTCACCTGCCTGAGGTCCCCTACCACCATGTAAACAGGCCCAAAGAAATTAATTTTTTTTCGTGGTGGCATATTTCTCGACTGAATGCTTGAATAGCTGTCATTGATTGGCACCAGTCCTTATTTGGCGTGCTGCCAATCAAGGAGTGACGCGCTTGGGGTCACGTGGGAACATGGAACTCTTCCTGATATTATGAAGGTCCAGGTACAACATGACCACTCGCTCCAGACCTGGGAGGGGAGAGACGGGAAAAAAGTTAAGTAAAGGATCCCACGCTATGTTGGTTACAAGGGAGGAGACGGGAGAAACTACGCAGTGAATGGGGGATGCACTCTGGAGATTTGAAATTTCTCTGGCAATTCACAGTCGAGTCCAATACGAGAGAAATCTTATAAACATCCATCAGGGCGAAAAGAAGTTTCATCGTTTCCAAAACCCGACCAATCCCGAACGCGCGAAGGATGTACGAACGCTTCCGACCATTTACCGAAATATCTCAAGATGGCCGAGGCCTTCCGAGCTTCTTTCGATTGACACACACTCCTTGTAGGCTGATAAGACGACAACCATATTCGCTCTGACGAAGAGCTAACAGTTGAAAACTGAGCCTGAGCAGCTAACGCCGTTTTTTTTTACAGCTAAGAAGAGATCTCGAGGACAAGTCAGCTTTTCGATCTTTTTACACAATGTCGATAAAACCAAATTTTTGTGTTTCATTCTCGGCCACAGTTTCTTTAGAAACCAACCCCTTCTACCCGGCGAGCAGAGGTTTTTCTCTTGCATGGCTTTTAGCGTTTACGAAGTCGTTCACGTGGCTTGTCTGTCGCGTAGTTGCTTTGTTTACGCCAAACCTATGCAAGAGAGAAACCTGTGCTCGTAGGGTAACCACTTCATTCATTTTAAGGCGTTGTGTGACGAAATTTTATAATAATTCATACCGTAAAAACTACCACCAAATTGAGTAAAATATAAAAATAACCGCTCAAACGTTAAATGAAGGTAAAAGTAACACAGCAAACACAAAAGAAAGCACGGACGGACAAAATTAAAGAAGATTAAAACGCATCGCAATTGCGGTTTTTAAAACTTGTTAGCCTGAATGTTTTTGAACGTTTTTTGTTTGTAACGCTTGAAATAATGCTAGAAAGACGTTTGTATGACACGAAGCTGATTTTCTGTTTTGGCCACGCAAAAATTTGAATGGAACGAGAGCCAACCTTTCGCTCCCCCCCAAATCCTCGCTCTTTCACTCGCGCCATTTTTCGCGCCGTCTTTGACTTTCGTTCCTCGTTCTTTGATTCGAAACCGCACGGGAACGATTGCTATGCAGGCTAGAGGACGCTTAATTAGGAATATTGCAAAATGATATACAGAAAACGCTCAAGGTCCTACCGGATTTCAAAGTACAAAATGCTTTACAAGTCAGATAATTATTGTGTACACGTTATGTGAATATTTAACTAGAATAAGGCCTAGATGCATGAACAACTAGAAAAGAAGAAAAAACTCACCTATTCCGCCTCCACCATGGGGTGGAGCTCCGTACCGGAAAGAGTCAATGTAAGCTTTGATCTTCTCAATATCTGAATAAATGAAAAGAAAACGGAATAAGTTCAATAGGTGATATCCCGATCGCAAAATGATAAAACATGAGGCTTTTGATAACTTGTTCCGTCACTACGACATTTTCCTGTAGTGACCCGATGACGACGACTGTCGCGTTTTCCCGCCAAACTGATGCTGGTAACTTATCGAACAAATGCACATGTTACAACTTGTAAATTTCAGTGCTGTATAGTGTTGTGTTCTTTTCTTTTTCCTTTGTACTCTTTTTTTTTTCGTAAGTGCAATTTAAACAAAAAAACAAAAAAATGACGCTAGTTCACATGCGCGCACTACATGGTAAGAAAATCTCTTCCTCGTCTCTAAAGGTAGACTGCTTAGTGCTGGCAAACTCTCCATTTATGGCGAGCGAAGAGAACGCACGACGACAATATCGCGTCTCCTATTGCGTGCAGCTCTCGCGTGACTTCTCGCGACTCCGCCAAATGGAGAGCTTGCTCGCAGGCTACTCTAAAGGTCTCTAACTAGACGTCGCATTCATGATCCCTGGACATGAGCTGCTTTTTTTCTTTCCCTTAATTTAAATTTGTGACTTAAGTTTATGTAGTGATAAGTAAAAAGAGACGGACAAAATTAACGCGCATTTGTGGATGGCCAGGAAGCAATAATCATTAGCATATGAGAGTGAAAGAACACCAAAAAACCTTCAACAACAAAATATCCGGGGGCGAATAGATTAAAAAAAAATAATGCAACAAGGAATCTTACCTATTTCATGGAGTTTAGCCCTCTCAGTCAGTAGGGTGGGGTCGTGTACTCGCTGAGCTCCTGACAACACTTCCTCTCCTCTCATGAACATGTCATAAGAATTGCTCCATTCCTTGAAAGGGAGAATAGCAGAATGAAATGTGAATTATGTGGAATCTCTTTCAACACTTAAGCTTTCACAAACTCGAAAGTGACCCTGGTTGTTCATTTATAAAATCAAGTTAAAAAAAAGTCTATTACTCTCATTCAACCGACAGAAAAGAGTCAATTTTTTCAAGCCTCGGTGTAATCAACTGATTTTCTCTACGGCCTCCTCCACAGTCTTTCCCAAGGCTTAGTGGGACTTTTAAAGCGGGGTACTGGAGACAAGCGAGAAGCGAGAGAGGGGGATAATGGGAACGAGGGCAGAGCGCGAGCAGGGAGTGATGCCCTTCCCATCACCCCCTTCGCCCCCACTTTCCTTAATCATTAACTCAAATATCCTCCCCACCTCCCCAAACAAAAAAAACGTGATTGCGAGCTACTGGGGACGAGGCAATATTTTCTAAACAGATATCTTTCTAGGCTCTGCCTGTAGCAAGGTAGCCATATCTGGTCAGTTGCTTCTGGCCAAAATTTCACACGTCCGCTGCCGCTGATGTTGCACAGACCTTAGGTCGGTGCTTTATTCAATAGACAAACCTGGAATTTCGATGTATTAAAATACTTGGCTCCGAGGATTACGGGAATAAAACAAAAGAAATCGTCTTGAGGCTCAACAATGAATAATGTATTTCTTCTGTCCCATTATGATCTCTTGTTCTGTTTTATTCCCGTAGGCCTCGTAGCCTGTGGAAAGACGCCCCCCTCCCCTTAGAAAAAATCGGGGAGAAAGACTCGCTCCCCGACTTTTTCTCAGGGGAGAGGGGCGTCTGTACACAGCCTATAAGCCTTGTAGCCAAGTATGAATTTTGTTATTTCGAAATTGGTCTATTGCCGATGGGGCTCCTCTCCCACAAAACTATTTTGGGGCTTTGGGACAATATCGCTTTTTAATAGACCTTACTCACGATACCCGCACGTGCTTTATGATCGATGGGATAAAAGCAAATGTCATGTGGTATCTCAGGGGCCAAATACGACTGAGCGCGGTCGAGTTCGTTTATTAGGGAGTTAAAGCAGCGACGTTTTTGAGCAACGCACGTCAACCGGAAGTGCACTTTTTGCACTTTGAACCAATTCTTAGGCAAATCGTCTGTTTAAGAGTAAAGACACTTAGCAATACAAATTTGGTAGCGTCAAGGTATATTAAAAGAGAAAAAGGCTCACTTCCGGTTGACGTGTGTCGCTCAGAAACGTCGCTTATTAAACTCCCTATTCTCTTTAAACGAGACGATGACTTTAGTCTTGCAAAAATCTACAGTTCGAGCATCGACAAGTCTTTCGTCATTATTGCTTGCTGCGAGGACATACACGGTTGCTAACTGCATCCAAAAAAGTAACAATGATCACTTTGACCCATAATTTACCAGAATCGTTTTTACTCATAATCTTTCCTCACTTTCTGTTGTCTAGAATAAACCAACTCTACCACGATTTCTTGTATTGGCCAATTTTATCACTTGTTTGCCCCCTGAGAAACCACGTGACATCGCTTTTATCCCATCAGTCCTTAAGCGCGTGCAAAGAAGGAAGGTATCGTGAATAAGGTCTATTGACTATTCCGAGGTTGCCGGAAACTGGGCCCAAATTTGTCCCCCAAAACATTCCCATAGTGCAATTCGAAAAAACCCCAGCCAGTCCTAGGCACAAACAAAAATTGGCCAATAGCAGACACCATTCTTTTTTGGGTGAATGAAAGAGAGTTTACTGTTGCTTATGTTGCTTTTCAGTACTTACAGGGTTATGTGGGTCAGGCATGGTGTAGAACGGTCGAACACACAGCGGATATTTATCCAGAATGAAGAAGTCTGTGTCATACTTCTGTTTGACAAGTTTGCCTAACAGCTTCTCATTTGGAGTGCTAAAAGGAAAAGACGTAGATATCGATTTGTCACTTGGATACAACAAGTAAAGACAATCCATCGTACGAATTAACTGAACTAAGTGTAAGTTACAGGGTAGAGGACACCGTAAAAATTCCGAAAATAAGCCCCGGGGCTTATATTTTTCAAAGGCCCTTTGTGAGGGGCTTATATTCGAAGGGGCTTATCTACGGAGGGAAATTTGCGTTTCAAAATTGATTGGGCTAGCCCTATAGTTGGATGGAAATTTACCGTGTTTGCTTTTTTTTACTTTGTATTTGAGGGCAATTTCCAAGTACAAGTCCTCGGGGGGCTTATATTTGGAGGGGAGATTTAACGGAGGGTTTTTTGCGTTGCGAGAGTTTGGGGGCTTATTTTTGGAGGGGCTTATACATGGAGGGGCTTATTTTCGGAATTTTTCGGTATTAACTGAAACGTGAACCCTAAACTTATTTCCAAAGATAATCGCTTTGTAATTGGACTGGTGATAGAGGACAATGCTATCAGCATATGCGGTGTTAATTTAAGCGGGGCACGTTGCCTTCATCCGAATCATTTAAGGCCTAAACTTCCCACGTCCACGAAGCATCAAATAAATAACGATTATTCACCGAAGTGGCGGTGAATAGTACTTGGATAATCACCGCCCAGCTAGCCAATCAGAGCACACAAAGGGGTAGGGTATATACTAATGGGTTCCATCCTCTAAAAAGGAGACACAATCATGTACATCGTTCTTAAAGGTAATATTCCTTTTCTCTCGTCCTCTGTCACTGTTAAGATGTCCTAGACTTCGAGCAGTTCTGCTACTCTCCTCAAGGATTTTAGAGAAAGCAAAATACGCGAATACAACTACAAATGTAGCTTCCCAAGTAGACGTGGAATGCGTGAAGAAGCCTAAAAACGTCGGACCATTATACGTTTCTGGGAAACTGCCCACCTACTCCTCCCCTAAGCCAATATTTTCCCCTAAGTGAGGCGTAAGGGTTAATGTTGGCTTAGGGGAGGGGTAGGTGAGCTTTTTGCCAGAAACGTATGATCCAAAACCTCTACTTGAGAGGTTACTGGGAATGGTCACCCGTGAGAATGGCGTGGACAGCAATTTTCTCATGCGCTCACTATTTCGCTTACTCTACTGAGGAATGTAAGGAACTACTCAGTAGTCTACAGATGTAACCCATGGCTGTTTTACCTGAGATCTTCATCATAATTCATTTCAACACCAGCCTCCCTCAACATGTCAACTCCTTCACGGTAAGTAAGTACCAAGCTAAAAAAAATAACAATAAAAAAAATTGAAAAGAAGAAAATAAAATAACCAAGGGCCTTGGCAACAACCATTACCTTGTGCTTACTGATATGAGGGTACCTCAGGGTGACCACGAAGATTTCAAGTTTCTGGGTATAAGCAATGCTAGTAGGCAGGATTTTGGACACCTGGAAAGTTCTATTGATTGTATTTATCCTTTTTTTCTATGAAAGAATCCGGGGGGTTATGCTCATAGTAGCCGTGCCGCGGCCCTGGGGCAGCTCAGCATTGTACCTCATATGATGACAGTACAACTTTAATGACCAACACATTTTAGTATGGTTGAGGATGATTTTCAAATGGCTCACGTTGTTGTTGATTTGGAAAGTGTCATATTGATTTTTTCTAACTACATATATGCGTTATTGACCAAGCGTGAGGTCAAGAAGGCTGGATATTGGCCAAGTTCCTTTTTGCCTCTTTCAGACTCCAAGATGACGTTAAGGTCGATAAAAATGCCAAAAAGAATCCAGCTATCTTGACCGAACAAGCTTGGTCAAAAAAGGATTTATTTTATGGCCAAAAAGAGAACTTGTTCTTGCGGGACTGACATGGGAAATCCTGAGCGGCCAAGATGAGCTCATTTTGCCTGCTCAAGTAACCAATCAGAACACAGGATTCGCTTCTTCGTGCCTACTTGCGGATTTAACCATATAATGCGGCAGTATGGCCTTGTCAACCAGCTGTTAGAGACCTTTGGATTCTAGAACGAGAACGACTACGAGTAAGAGATTTAACTTTAAGTTTTTTAGGCGTATTGTCAAATAATAGACACCCTGGATAGCTTCATTGCACATCTTTTTCATCAAAACAATTAGCAATGTTATCTCGATTGAAGGAAGTTAAGCCGCAAATCTCCCAGCCGCAAAATAATAAAACCTATAACACTTTAATATATAGATTTAGCAGGGCTAAAAGCGAAGCTCTTGATAATATTTATAGTTTGCTTAAACAAAAAAATAATCATGTTATGCTAAGCGGCGAAGGCAACGAGAACGGTGAAAAAAACAAAAATAGGGCCGTTTATGCGAGAGAAAATAAGCCGCGGCTTACTCTGGCCGCGGTTTACATAAGACGCGAAAGGAAACATTTATGCGAGTACGGCTTATATTAGACGCGTCTGCTCGTACAAATGGTTCACGGCTTAGTTCGCGGCCAGGTTGTACTTTTAATGAGCGTAGATTTAAAATTAAAATTGGAGAACTTACGCTTGCCGAGGTAACGCAGACATCGAGCTGCCCCGGAATCTCAACTCGCGCTGCATATGAGCAGGATTTGTTTTTCTTCTGGGGCACTCCACACATTTCTAATTTTACATGAATCTCTATCCGCCATTTTCCACTTTGTAAATGTAAACAAAACTCATTTTCCCGCCACTGCAACGCGCGTCTCTCGGCCGTGAAGGTCTGGGATATAATTGAAAACAGAGCATGCGCAGCAGTCGTTCACGGCTTCAGCAAGCCGCGGACAACGTTCGAGTGCATTTATACGAAGACTTTCACGTCCAAGGTAAGCCGCGGCTTGGATAAGCCCATCCCAAAACCCCTCAGCCAGGATAAGCCGCGACTTGAGCTGGCCTTGGGTTGATTAAGCCGTGAACATAGATTTTGTCCCATTTATACAGGGTGTTCGCGTCTTATGTAAGCCGCGGCTTTTATTTTCTCTCGTATAAACGGCCCTATTAAGTCTAAGTAGCAAAAAAACAACTTTGCACGTGCAGCACACTTTTTTTTTCGTACATTTCTTTACCGTTGTTTTGCACGACCACAAAGTGAAACTTCTAGAAACTTCCTAGTTGCACGTCTTCTGGAGGAAATGTGGTACCTGTTGTTGTTCACTTTTTTTCACTCGCTCATTTTCAACTCGGTGGCCGCTAGGATTTCTCATTTTCTTACCGCCGCTAAAACATTTTCATGTTGTTCTTCCAACAAATAGCTCCTTATCTTCCGCTCTAGCTCTCTGTCGCTCTTTTTCTCGTTGAGCTTCGCTGGCCTGTCGCCCACTTTATTTTTTCTCTATATTCCAAATTTGTGGACATGACAATTAATTTAAGCTTAATACTTTAGACAACAAGGATACAGAAACAATTTCTGCTTTGAGTCCGTTTTCGTCTTTATTGACTCTTTAGTTGTCTCCGCTTCACAAGACGCGGGTGGCTATGCGATTTCCCGCCAAAATAACCTCGAGTTGCATTTGGGTTGCAATACCTGTTGTTTGAGTCATTTTACATTGGTATGCCTGTGGGGCGGACGAACGGTCGGTCGGACGTACGGTCACGTGATCACCAAAATTTCTCGAATGGGTAGATTACCAAATTTTCTTACCCACGGTGCTCCCCTTCGCGTGGAGCCCCGCTATAATTGTGTTCGCTAACACGACATTCTCGCCAAAACTCCTAGTAGAATGACGACGACTATCACCTTTTCCCGCCGAAATGACGCTGGTTTATGCGTGCTTACTACTTAGTATTGAGAAAATCTCGTACTCGTAGTCGTACTCGTCTTAGAATCTAAAGGTCTCCATTACAAAGCAACAAGGAAGCGTATTATTCAACTTTCATTCAGGAAAATTCTAACGATCCTAAGCGTCTTTTCAAGTCTGTGAATATGCTTTTGCGCAGGAACTCTGAAGGTTGCTATATCCAAAGGCCTGTAATGATGCTGAACTTGCTAACGCGTTTGCTGACTTTCTTGCGCACAAGAATAAACGCATCCGCGGGGAAATTGCGCGTGGCGGTCTGTTGATGGAATGACAACAACCACGTTTGCTATTAATTGTTTGACTTCGAGTTAGGATTCAGAATTCAAAATTTTTAAACCGCTAACGTTTAACGAAGTTACTCGGTTAATCAAGTCTGGGTCAATCAAGTCGTGTTCACTTGACCCTCTACCAGTATCCATCACGGCCAGGTCTGGTGTTATCCTACCTAAGTACCTATGCTTACGAGGATTATTAACTTATCACTTGCTATTAGTGAGATGCCAAGGAAACTAAAATGCGCAATGCTGCGACCATTGCTAAAGAAAGCCAAAGCTGACCCTAAGTTTTTTTTTTTTAACTTTCCTTCAGTGTCTGATCTCAAAAATGTTTCCAAACTCATTGAAAAAGCTGTTGCCGCCCAGCTTAACGACTATCTGGTTTACAATGATTTGCATGCGCCTCTTCAATCTGCACACGAACCCTGGCACAGTACTGAGACAGCACTAATGAACGTACATAACGACCCCTGATAACGACGACAACGACGGCAGTGAAAACGTCTCTAAAAAAATGATTTTGCATTCTTTCAAACTTAATCGCTTCTATTTGGACCCGCTCAATATGTCAAATGCAGGCGACTTTTCCTGGAGTTGAATTCTTAAGGATGTTATTCAAGTTCAAAAAGAGGAAGGAAAATTCGTCGTCGTATGTCCACGTCCTCCATAAAACGTCAAATTAGGAGGTTTCACGTCGTAGTCGTGCAGCGGACGTCAAAGAAATGTTCTAAAAAGAGTGATGCACGTGCAGAGCTGTTTTGATCATTAAACCTATTGTTTTTTGAAGTTGTTAATGCTGTCACTGGACAACAGTGAATCTGGCAGACAATGGCAGATGAACACTGTAAGGTGACGAGTTACTGATGGAAAACTTGTCCCACAGTAGAAGTTACCTGAAGTTTCACATACTTTAGCCTGTGTACAGACGCCCCCTCCCCTCACAAAAAGGGAAGGGGGCGCCTGTATACAGACAGGCTACACATACTTGGGCTTAAACCAAGAAGTAGACATTTTAAATCTTTAATGCTTTTGTTTAAAGAAAATCATTCTAATCATTTCAGCAAACCTTGGTTCCAGAAACTTGAATGGTTCACTGTTGTACTGCTTCTGTACTTTGGCAATATCATCAGCATATCTGTTGGAGAAACAAGTCAATTTAAAGTTAAACCAGTAATCATTTTAAAGTCCTAGGAATATTCAAACTCCCTCCATGTACGCTACACAGCAATTTTCAAGGAGTTATAAAAACTCCTCTAGTGGGATTAATTTAATTCCGTACAGTGTAGTTTTTTTGGGGAGAGTTATTTTAACTCCAAAAAGGAGTTTAAAAAACTCTTTTTCAGGAGTAAAAATCACCCCAGATTTGGAGTTAATACTGAGTAGTTAACATAACCCCCCAAAAGGGGTTATCCTGTACCTAAACTTTTTACTCCATTTGAATAGGTAATAGCATGATTGGTAGTGATGTTTGACACAAATACCACAAGTGATATTTCAAAATTGTTATACGTACTTTCACGAGCCGTTAGGCGAGTGAAATTTGAGACAATTTTCAAATATCACGAGTGGTATTTTTGCCAAATATCACGTACAAATGATGTTATTATTTGTTTATACTACTACCCGCGAAAGGTTGTAATTTTCACATGTAAGTTTCTCAAATTAAAGCCCATCAAACTGCAGAAATTTCTCATGTAGTAGTATAATTGGAGATATGATATCTCCCTAAAAATCATTGTGGAAGTGAAAACATTATTACGGAAAGGCGTCAAGGTGTAGGTATCGTCGGGAGCAACTGAATATCACTGTTTATTCTGAAAAACTGCATCCAACAAATGTAAGGAGGGACGTCTGCGCCTCAGCGACAGAATTCCATACTGATGACGTAAATCAGTGTTTGCATAATAAATCCGGTAGTCATTGGGTTCCAAATGTAAATTTGTTTGACTTTATGTTTCTCCTGATCGATTTTGTTAAAGTTTTGTGTACTTCTGCGATGCTTTTTCTAAAGAAGAATATATTCCAGGAATATTGACCGTTTTGTAGTAGATTTACCACGTTTACGTTTGACCTTTGTGGCCTTTTGTCTTTTGTCAGTCATTCGTAATTAAACAATATAACTACTCCGTCGACCAATCAGAGCTCTTAACCAGATTCCGGACAGATTTTACGTCATCAGTACGGAATTTCTGTCGCTGAGGCGCAGAAGTTCCTCCTGGCGAAACGTCCCTAGCGGCGAAGAGTGAGGAGAAACGGCTGTATTCGCAGGTTACAGGGTCGGCGACGGCAGCAAAAATGTCGCTTAAAAAGTGAATTCACATTCTTTCAATCTTCATCGCGATTATTCCAACTCATATACTTTGTGAAATGCAGGAAAACTCTAATAATAGAAAATGGTTGACGAAACGTTACCTGTCACGCAATCCCTTGAAAATGTGAACAAATGTTTGACCTATCATATCAATCACCTGTGGTAAAAAAGACAATCATTTGTTTGTTGAAAGTGAGAAGCCACAAATAAAATGCACCATCAAAAAGCGCATAGGAATATGAAATAAAAGGTATGATTCGTTAAGGCTTTGGAATGTGTCCACAATCATAAATCAAAGTCGTCTACAATGTAATCCAATATGGGCCACTTGGATCATTTTACGTTTCTGTGAAACTGCCCATCTACACCTCCCCTAAGCCAACATTTTGCCCTAAGTAAGAAGCTAGTGTTAATGCTAGCTTAGGGGAGGGGTAGGTGGGCAGTTTCACAGAAACGTAAAATGATCCGGCCATTCTTCCATTCACAGGTAATTGTAATACAGTCAAATCTCCACGTGCGACCACCTCTCGAAAGCGACCCCCTCTCATGACTGACCACCTATCCAAAACACCAAATAGTTTCCCAGTCAAAACCTTACAGTTGGAACCCCTAGTAAAAGACTACCTCTCGTAAGCAACCGCGACCTTTTTTTAGGATGACTGTTTTAGAATTTTCCATTGTTTTTAACCTCTTCTAAGCGTCCACCTTATACAATGGTCTGATCTCTGAGATCACTGTATCTACCACATTTACTCAGAGTATGGAAAGAACTTTTAGACACAACATGGATGACAACAAATTTGATGTGTCCGCACTTCTCCTCGTAAAGGTCACTTGCAGTTCGATTCTCGTAAGCGACCACCTTCCGAAAGCGACCACTAACTAGGGAGCTTAAACAACGACGGCGGCGACGGCAACGAGAACGGCAAAAAAGCAATAGGTTTAGATTGGACAAAACAACAACTTCGCACGTGCATCACGCTTTTTTGTAACTTTCTTTCCCGTCATTGCACGACTACGACGTGAAACTGCCTAGTTTCACGTTTTGTCGAGGACGTGAACACAAGGCGACTCTCGTTTTCTTTTTCTGAACTTTGATACAGTCTCTTAGAATTCAACTTCAGAAAAATTCGCCAACATTTGACGAATTGAACGAGATGGAATAAGCGCGATAAAGTTTAAAGCAGCGCAAATTCACTTTTTAAGTGACGTTTTCGTAGCCGTTGTCGTTGTTGTTACTTAACCCCCCACCCTTTTCATTTTGGTGGTCGCTCTCGGCAGGTTCGCCTGTACTTTCCGTTGCTTCACACTTTAAACTTACAGATCTTTCAATACTATTTTACCTACCTCATGATAATGTTCACTGAAAGTCATCTCAATATCAAGACCAATAAACTCTGTTAAATGCCTGTGAGTGTTGCTGTCCTCAGCCCGGAAAACTAAATTGAATCAGCAAAACAAAATACAAATCATTAAGAGAGGGTCTTAATGGGCTTAACTGTGCGCCGTTGAAAAGGGTAATTTTGTACCATCAACCGCTAAAAATGCAGATCAATATTAACCATCAAAAAAATTCATGGTATACAAATCTCACTATTTCAGCTGATCTTTATGGACTTCTGGCTTCTAGAGTCCTTAAGGAAGCTGAAAAACTAGTTCTCAAGTTCCCAAGAACACTCTATCTAGACATTACAAGACATTACAACTCGCTTATTTCTGAAAGTATTTTGAAATTTTAAAAGTGAAAGGCCAAGTCAACCTCCAAAACACAACAGTTAACATTAATTTATACAGAGGTAAATATTTACTCAAAAACGTGGACTAAATTTCTACTTAATAACCGCGAATCCGCCGGTGTCAACTGTCCACCGATGAAGCTACCGTCACACTGATACCCTCTTAAAAAACTAGAAGAAAAACTACCTCAAGCAACAAGGTAATTCATATCTATGACGTTTAAAAAGCAACCAAAGATTAAAAGTACACAAAGCTATTGCACTGGTTTTGCATTTTTTAACATTTTGCGAATGAAATATTGTTTTTTCCATAGTTGTAATCACGGCCACCTTTCTGGCAAAAATGTCGCTTGTCAAATGGTTTTTGTACCTGAGCCAATGGTGAACACTCTGTCAAAGTCAGCACAAAGGACCATTTGCTTGTACAGCTGAGGAGACTGGGCTAGGTAAGCTTTGCCTGCGAGGGGATGAGAAATAAAAAAAAGAGAATACAGTCACATTACTCTACAAAGATATTGACCCCTCAAAAAACTTACTCCTAATGCAACTCCATTAACATCACTTCACTGTTACACTGTTTTTCATTACCACATATTACAAAACGACAAAATAAACATATTTCACAATTTATTAATATGTCAAGTTGACTGAGAGCTTACAGTACCTTTAAAATAAGTAACTTCAAATACATTTGCGCCCCCTTCACTAGCAGCTATAAAATAAAATAACAACAACAACAAAAAAAACAAGTTGAGCATTATATTAATTAAATGGCCAAAGAATGCATATGTATTGGGGGGTACTTTAGCAATTTTTATGGGGGGATGTGCTGCTGGGACCTTGGATTCCTCAGCCTATACCAGAGCTAGTTCAGCTGAAGCTCCTATACTAGACCAAACTCCCAAAATCCCACCCTATCCAAAAGTCACTATTTCCCAAAAACTACTGAGGTTTACAATTTTGAGTTGTGGGTAAATTTGATATTTTTGAGTGTTAATTCCCAGTTTCCCTGGTCTAAACTAACATTTTCAACCAATTTTTCAGCTTCCTGGAAAATGATACCCTATTCTAGACCCAAACTCTATGATTTTTATACCTTATCCCACACGTAATTGCTTGAAAACCACACCCTTCACAGCAAATTCACAGCAGCACGTATCTACTGTATGGCATGTATATGGCAGCCCTGGGATATGCACCAGGACATATAGTTGCTATTTACAGGAAATGTAGCCCACATGGTGACTTCTACAAAACACCGAGTACTATTTTTACTTCCCCTCTCCCCCTGGTGGGATTTGAGTAATAATTGCTCAGTCATTTAGGTTGCTGTTTTCTTTCCCTCTCTCCCACCCTGGGGGCTTCTCTCAAGTACTTAGGGCCTCGGTTTGTTTATTAAAGATGCCCAAACAGATTCACTGACTTGTTGTTGGCTGAGGGGCGAGGGAACCCGAGGGACAATTAAGTTCAGTTGCTGGTCAACAGCACATCAACATAAAGTTCCTTCAGAGAGGGCATTTAAGATGGGATAGATGGGAGGGGGTGGCTTGACAAAAGCCAATGTTTTTTTCTGGGTTTCTCCACCTAATCATAAAGACATGGCCCTTGAGGATAATAAGGATGGCATAATTTTAACCAGAATAAATTACAAAAATAGATCAAACCTGAAATTATCTTAGGAGTGTGTATTTCATTAAATCCTTGAGAAGTAAGGAATTCTCGGAATAAATTGCAGACACCAGCTTGAATGCTGAAAATAGCTTGGTTAGGAACAGTCTGCAACATGAAGCAAAAAATGATACATTTTCCTAAATGACAGTGGTCAACAATCAATAAACATGACAAGATGTACACCAAATTAATAACAACAAACCCTTAGGTCAATAATTCTGTTGTCCAAACGGGTGTCCTGGTTAACATGAGCTTGCTCCTGAAATGATACAAAAATATTCACTTAAGTTTGATCCGAAATGATAGTGATCCGAGTGATCTCGGATCACTGATCCTGATCCAGATCATCCCAATGGAACACACCCTACAAATTGCCAACAGTGAGATCGTGATCAGCATAATTATGCCATAACAAATGAAATTGGAGTGTTTGATTGGCTACATTCTGGAATTAGAAGACATGGAATTACCCCTTTAGGTCCCAAGAGCGACCAACATCAATTTTCTCCTAACAACATCAGCAGAACATCAAGAGTAAAGGTTATGAGAATTACTAAATTGAGAGAAGGGAGAATGCTTTGATCTTAAACCAAATTCTCTCACCTATTCTTAAAAGAAATGTATGGAGATCAGTCTGAAGAATTTGTATGTGGATCTTGGGGCTTTAAGGGTAAATCAGCACCATATCATCTGCAACCCTGGCTTAGGGAAGGTAGCATGGTGAAGTGACCAATCAGAGTGATGGACTAGTAATCCAGTAATTACCATAAACAAACCAGAGGAAAATATGGGGGATGTTGTGGTTTAATTTCATCCTTGGTTTAAATTCTATTTTCTTTTGTTCTGAGGTACCGTAAAATTGCGAAAATAAGCCCCTACATATATAAGCCCCTCCAAATATAAGCCCCCCAAACCGGTAACGCAAAAAACCCTCCGTTAAATCGCCCCTCCAAATATAAGCCCCCCGGGGAGTTGCACTTGGAAAATTGCCCTCAAATACAAAGTAAAACAAAGCAAAAACGGTAAATTTACTTCCATCTATAAAGCTAGCCCAATCGATTTTGAAACACAAATTTCCCTCCGTAGATAAGCCCCTCCGAATATAAGCCCCTCCAAAGTTTGAGTTTGAGTTTGAAACAAGGGGAAATAAAATTTAAACCACGGACAAACTTGAACTTCAACATATACGCCAGGGATAAATATTTGAACACAATGTTCAGGGAATCTCATGTAGTAGATGAAATCCTTACATCATCAGTTTCAGGGCGTGATGCATCTTCTATCTGAAGAGGAAGTCTAGGCTCTGCCAAGCTCACCACAAAAATCTAAGAAAATATGATAAAATCATCGGTCATGAAAGACACAAAATCGTTTTCTGTTAACTGAACAGGCCTAAAACTACAAAAACTGGGCAGGAAAGGCATCTCCGAGCTTAATTTGAGAAGCTCAATTTTGGGGAAAAACGTTTTTGCCAAAAATTTGCAGCAATTAGAGTTGAAGTCATTCGTTCATGACAGCATAAATTCGTAGAAGGCAGAAATAAAAAACTATTTTTTTGTTGGTATTAATCTGACATAAGGGTAGAAGGAAATTATCCATCACAACAAAAATTACTTAGAAACAACAAGAAATAAGTTCAAGATAGAAAATTTTTGTTTAGGTAGAAAAGCAATACACATAGAATTTACTCTGTCAAGGCAAAAAATAATAGTGCATATCCCGACATCAGAAGCGAAGAATTATTGCTGTTTCTTTTTGATAAATTGGGATCCATCTGTATTATTTTGTCTTCAAGAAGTAATTTATTTATTTATGAACACAGACAGATTGTTTTACATGTTCTAACAGACATGCCACACCCACAATTTTCCCATAAATTATTATTTGCCAACTTTTTATTGTTATTAATAGAAATGATTAAAAAACTGAATATTATTTTCTTGAACAGTGCGTATATACCTTATCAACAGAGATTTCCACATCTTCTTGAGAACAACTCTGCACTTTCTGATCTACAGATTTAACTTCTCCCTCAACATCGATAATGGATTCCCTGTTTATCCTGTCAAAAAAAATTAAGCCAAGAGGTTAGGAGAGCACCTTTTATTACTGTAGCACAATATGTACAGAAGTTACAGTGTTGCTTAAGACAAAATCATCGATCCCATTTTGAAAATAAAAGGCAATCTATATGTACACGTATGTGGCTACTGCTTTATTTTTGCAGAATATTGCTGTAAAAATGTAAATCATGATCCAATGAAATTAAATTAAAAGAAAAAAAACAACAATTTGAGCATCATTGAGCCAAGTAACCCAGAGTTATATGTAAAAGAACTAAAGTGTACTTTGTCTTTAACACTTAACTACCACATAAATTAATGTACATCTATATGTCATAAATGTATCTATTCAGAGAGAGATGAAAAGTTGTCAGTACACCCTCAAAGCCACTCTGTAAGATGACCAAGGGAAAAAACATATGAGCTGGGACTCCAACCTGGGATTGTTTGCATGGCAAAGAGACAAGAAATTGTGGGAATTGTTCTGCTGTCTACTGTCAGCAACATGAAATCAAGGAAAATAAGCATTGTTTGTGGTTGTACTTGAGTAAAGTTGTGACTCTACATGCATCTAATGATATTTGCATTGAGGTTTCTGTAAGGTTGTTACTGTTCCTTTCAGCCAAAGTGGAAGCTTAATACAGGTTTCCAAAATACTACAGAGACGAGTTATGCTCCTTGTAACTTGATCATCTTTAGTATATGTGATTACTTTTTGCTCAATAAAATCTTGGTTTTGATGTTTTTGCAAAGAAATAAACATCATTACCCTGCAGCAAACTTCACCATTGCTTTACTGATGACATCATTGACAGCACAGACTCCTTGGACAGTGTACTGGCGATCACGCAAGATCATAAAACACTGCTTACCTATCACAAAGGAAACATGAATTGCAATGAAACTCAAAACAGTACCAGAAACTAAACAAATTAAGGACGAAATATTTAAATAATCCAGCTTAAGATAAGGAACATACCTGTTCCTCTTGTAGTGTGAAGCCGAGCTCTAACCAAGACCCTTTTACCAACAGCCTCTAATGTCAAGTCTTTCACTTTGGTCCAAACTTTAGCTGTAAAAACAACATATGCAGGGTTGTCAAAAGTAGCAGGCTGCTGGTGAAAATTGCTGCCTATTTGGTTAGTATCAGCCCGCTACTCTGCCTGGCATTTCTTTATGGACGGTGTTTTTCAAATACTTACTTCGACAACTCAGCCTTCTACTTCAAACTTTCTGACACTGCATATGGCACAAGTTATCATTTCAGGCTGTCATTATGGGGTCACCTTTGGGGCAACTGAAAGGGTTAAATAGGGTCAAAACCCTAGTTGTCCATTTTAGGACGACTTCCACATCACAGAGGTGTCCATTGACCCCTTAACCCCCAATATCCACATACAAATGCATGTGTAATCAAAGGGTGACAAGTGAAATTAGTTTAGGCAGGGAAATTATTAGGATTTGGAAAAAAACACAAATGAAATTATTCCCTAATTTCATGAGTATACCGTTTAATTACCTTTCAATATCGTGGGTGATGAATTATGTTAGCAATCGAGGATTTTTTATGTTCATCCTGGATCGTATCGATCGAGAACTCCACTCTCTCAAATGTTTAGAGTTTAAATTTGGCTCAAGTTTTGACAAAATACCTGTTAGAATTGTTCTTGATGTGCTCTTTCATGTGTTTAGGTTTTCTGAAGTGTTTTTTAAAACTTTGCCGCCATCTTGGCACTGAGACAAGTGGAAGGTTGCCATGGCAAATTTGTAATTTCACATGTGAAATTACAAATTAAGGCTGAATTTCACACCAAAATTAAGGAGTAATTTGTCATCCATGATATTAGATCATTAATTTTACCCTCTTGGTCAAAGACAGCGCTGAAGCACAAGTACCAGAGCTGCACCTGATTTTGCTTCTTGAAAGGACTGATGTCCAGCTTAGTCACCATTTTGGTTGGACAAAACAAAAATGTGGTTGAACCCAAACATGGAGGGATTATTATGTGTATTTAGCAAAAAATTGGCAAGGCAAACATGAGTAGAATAATATTACCACCATATACTCAACACAACAATTTTTTTCCTTAGTAAACAATTCAAAAGTACAAGCACTGAGGATAAGACTTTAATCATCTGAAAAATGATAGTCTTTGATATTAACTTTGTTCACCTTTAATTTTTGTTTTTCGGACATGAGCCAATTTCAGGCAGACATTGACCAATCACTAACTGATATTCACAGCTCTAACAATACTCTCTTTCTCTTAACAGACAACTATTGTTTTGCAGGAGAACTACGACACTCCACTACTGAAGAATACTCGCAATTGTATAACTGATGATGGTTCTTCCAGTAAGCAGGTGTACAATTCAAAGGGTGTTAGTACTTGCTCTTCTATTCCTCTTTTCAGGGCAATCTTGGTACTCTTCACTAAAGATTCTGCGCAGCCATTCTGATGTGGTGCTGCTGGTGTAGATTACTGCCATTTCATTCCCTTTTCTGCACTGAGTTCCTTTAGCTGCTTCACATCCCATCCCTTGATCATATCTTGTAGCTCACATTCTGTGCCAACTAACTGCGTACTGTTGTCGTTCAACATCATAGCTGGTTGGCCGCTGATAGCAAACAATCTTCGCAGCGTCTGCATAAGCACATATACATCAGGCTTGCCTTCAGTTTCCATATTTCGCTGTAAATACCAGTGAACTTGCTGATCCTGTTCAGGGATAAGGACTCTATGGAACATCTTAGAAATGTCCCCTGCCAGTGCTACCTCATTTTCTCTAAATCGAAGGATAACTCCGTAAAGGCTGTTTAGCAGATCAGGTTCATCCAATAATCGTTTAGCCGATCGCCTTGATAGGTCACAGGTGAGTTAAAAACAATGAGGATAGGAGTTGTCTTCTTTTCTGGTCTCACTACTTTGTGATGTGAGATGTAGTGGACTGGGTCTTTGTATGCCATCATTTCTTCATTTGACAGCTTCCTCGCAAAATTCATTTCCACAAGCTCCATCATTTGCATATTGTATGCTTCAGTGTGCTCTGGATTCTTAGTAAGTCTCCATTAACTGGCTTCCAGTTTTCTCTCTGCTTGGGATCTGTTGTCTGGTAGGGCAGAAGGGTCCCTTTTCCAGCGATACAGAATTAGCCATTGGTTTTCAACCTCTTGGTAGGAATCTTGAATAAAATTTGCCTTCCTTTGCTCAATTGGGCTTAACTTATCGGTCTGGCAGTTACGAGGCTTGACTGCCAACCCCATGGACTCAGTTGACCAAAAGTCAATCATGTCGATAGGCACAGAAATCTTAACATTCAGCAAATGGTGGACAAGGGCGTGTCCCATGGGGCTTGTTAGTACTTTTTGATCCAAGGATCCCTACCAGAACGATAGGCAGCATTGCTTCCCTGTTGTTTGTCACAAATGAAATTGCTATCTAGAGCAGTCACTGAGTTTTGTGCTCTGGCAGTGTGAATCAGAGGGTGATGAAAATACTTGCACTGCCTTCCGTTAAGCATCTCGTTACAGTGACGTCGGTGGGAGCAGTTTGACACATTGTGGTCTCTCCCAGCTCATTTGAGGCAGCTATAACACCCATGATTATAAGAACTGTCCTTTTAAAGTAATTCAACTTTCACCATCTCAAACTAAACACAGATTGTATCTGTTGTGGTTCAATTTTATCCTTGGTTTAATTTTTATTTCCCTTTGTTTCAAACTCATTATCATATATTACCATGCCCAAAAACAAAGGGAAATAAAAATTAAACCAAGGATAAAATTAAACCACAACATATATAATGCCCTGGACTCCAACCTAGTGGGTGTCACTTTTTACATCAGCTAACATGAAGGGACGGATGTATAGACAGATGATTTTGTGACAACCAAAATTTCTTGAATGCATAGATAACCAAATTTTATTACCCATGGTTCTCCACTGCAAGCATTTTGTGTGCAGAAAGAGCTCCACTACTACAATTTAGTGCCAGTCACACGGTGTTCAGGTTAGAAAGACTTGATTGATCTACATGTACTGTGTACAGAAGAACAAACAAGGTCTATTTGACTTGTTGAAGTGGTAATAAAGAAGATCATGTCAACATTATTACTCAAATAAACTTACAAGTTTTCTCCTGCGACTGTGCCATTGGAAGAATGGCATAACGATCTTTTGAATAGTCCTGTTGATTGAGACGAAAAAACTGTTAAAATTTGTTACTGGTATGACATAAAAAATGTGATTCTTTGCATGTTCAGGGTATGGAGGGCTTCATTACTTCAACAACAAAAATGTGGGCACATTAGTGTGACCAAAATTCACAATTATAGTACTAAAATGGGACTGCATCCACTTAGAAAAAAAAATTAAATATCATTGCAGTTGTTACACAACATCAGGGATTACCATACCATCCCCTCCTGAGCATGAGAATTAATAGAAAGCCTAAGCAATGATGACAGCGATAGCAGCAAATACATCACTATTTAAACGTTTTCCACTTTTTCAAAGTTTTTGTGATTATTTCAAGTGCCTTGAAATGTCAAATGCAAGTTAATCTCCCTGGAATTAAATTCTTGGGTACCGAAGCCAAGTTACAAAAGAGAAAAAAATTTTGTTGTGCAGTGTTTAAGTCCTCCATAAAAATAATGTACTGTGAGGGAATTCCACTTTGTAGTCATGCATTGACAGCAAGTGAAATGAAGTGAACAAGGAAGTGTGCTGCATGTGCAGAGTTGTTGTTTTGCTTGTTAAACGTACATTAATTTGTATTGCTTTTTTGAAATCCTCATTGCTTTTGCTGCCATCATTGCAAAAGCTCCTTGATGTGTCAAACATGGGTCATCATCGCTCCCATGAGTTGCTACATGTATATGATCTACTGAGTTAATAACAATAATTGCTATTGCCGATTATTGGCCTGCACAATCTTCTAACCTGTCACCACAACCTGATACAAGTGGGTACACAACCATGAATCACTTTTTCTTTGAGTCTGTTTAACGTGCTCCTAGAGTGTAATGTCCCGTTGCCCAAAGGATGGACTTTTTCTGTGAGAATTGCTCCTTATTATAACTAAAATCTACAGATTTACAGATGACTCTGAAAGGTGTGGGAATTTTTTTTGATTTAGTTAACCCACAAATCGTAAACTTTACAAAACAATGGTGAAATTTTCTTAGAATGACAAACAAAAGCATTGTTTTCCCTGGAAACAGGGCTGAAATTGGATAAATAAATTAATATATTTTTTCGCTGGGTATCTTTTAACAAGAAGAGTGGTTCAGCTCTGTTACAGAAAAGGGAAAATTATATTCATGTATTTTGGTCTAATATGTAGGGTACGAGTTCCGGGAAGCCGCACACCCCATCGGAATTTTCCAGGAGCATCCCCTCCCATGGAGTAAAGATCTTACCTCTGCATCTTTTGCGCCAGCCTCCTCAGCCTAGACACAAAACAAAACCAGTCATTAATATATTTCTAGAAAACCATTTATTTTTGGTTCATCCCCACCCACCTCTCTGTAAAGTCAGACTGTCTGCTTCATTTTAATTCCACATAATATTAGAAGCATAATTCCTCCAGGCAAGCATAATTTTGAGCAACCTAGGTTTCACGGGTGAGGCCAAAAAGCATAACAATCATTTTATATAAAAACATAATCTGTCAGAGCATTATGTGACCAACCATGGAATTGTATTCCAAAAACGTGAAAAGATATTTAAAAAATTCCTTGACAAAAATTCAAACAAAAGAATCTGTACTGATCTCCCATTCGCTGAGTATTGGTTTCAATTGTTAGCAACTTTTTAAAAAAACTCAGTGGAAGCAAAGATGAAATTTTATCAAACAAATACTGAATGTATTTACCCACCTTTCGCTCATCACAAAGACCGATCCACTTTCGATATTTAATCCCATTTTTGGGCAAACTTTACAATCCCCGCGTGCTAAACCGATAATAGCAAAATTATTATGGTCATACTATTAGGAATTTTTCCAACCTGCTTCGCCTCCCTTTCGGCCTTTTTCCTCTCTTTTTCTTTCTCTTTCTCAAGTTTTTTCAAAGCGTTTTTAGACAATGGCTTTCCATCCGGACTGAAACCCAAAAAAATGAACAATCAGTGGAATAAATGATCGATCAATTAATATTAAAATGATGCAAGAGAAACCAACTTCGCGTCTTACCCTAAAGCAGCGGCTTTTTCGTCTGTCGGTGCGCCTCCATTTTCCGAGGACATTGCTAATGATCTCGTCAAAAAAGCCTTGGCAACTAAAGAACGGTTGTTCCGTGCAACGAAAAGTATAGGGGGCGCTCTCCCAACAACCCGGAGAAACCGCCACGATAGCATGCAAAGAGAAAGAAAATTTGGTCACACACAGTGAATTTTAGTCAGGCGCAGCCGGCCGGGACTCGTGCCAGACCTCTGACAACAATCGTACCGATTTTTCCACGCTCCTGAGCACACGTTGCCTGCGTGCAGACGTCTCCTATTTCCTTTGTTCAGACGTCTGCACGCAAGCAAGAGCACACACACAAAATTTCAAACCTCCCCCCCTCAACATCTTAATTCATACCCCACTTCTCTAAATTAAATGACCTTTTGGCCTAAACCATGTTCTCTCGATACAAATATTATCAAAGATAAGCGAAAAACGATCCTAAACAAAAAACTTAACGAAGTTTAAAATAAGTACAAGTATGCAGACGGGCAACATTTTCGCACAACTCATCTCGCAACATTGTGATATCATTTACCTCCGTGATGCAACATTTTCTACCTTGATATCATTCTACTGCCGTGATGCAACATTTTCTTCCTTGATATCATTTTACTGCCGTGATGCAACATTTTCTGCCTTGATATCATTTTACTGCCGTGATGCAACATTTTCTACCTTGATATCATTTCACTGCCGTGATAGAAAATTTTCTACTTTGATATAATTTTACTGCCGTGATTCGACATTTTGAGCAAGGGTTCGAATCCTGTACAAGCCGGAATCTTTTTCAGGCTTTCTTTTCGCAACTGCAAAAGTTGCGTATATAACTGCGATGATCTTCCTTCATATAGCAAAAATATTGTCAAACTCTTGGCAATAAGCCAAACCATTCACACCGTGTGCTGCGAGGACGATTATTTTCCAAAGGAAAAATTTAAACTATTTAATAGTTTGTTTCACTCAGAGTACCCTGTTTTTCCAAAAAGTTTGTTTTCTTTTCCAAATTTGTTTGCTGTGCGTTTTCTGTGGAACGTATGTAACGAAGATAAATGCTGTGTTGTGACAGACCACACGGCAGACATTCGCGTCCCTTGTTTACGTTCGCACGTATTGCGTGCCTATTGCAACTTTGAATCAAAACAAGCGAACGCGATTATTTCTTTATTTTGGGCGACGCTCAAATAAAAAGCGTGCTGCACGTGCAAATTTGTCTTTTTTTGCTAATTAGAAAAAAAGAGTGCTGCACGTACAAATTTGTTTGTCTTTGCTAATTAGAAAAAAGCGTGCTGCGCGTGCAAATTTGTTTTTTTTGCTAATTAGATCTATTGATCTTGATGCCATTTTCCATTGTCGCCCACGTTTAGCATTACATGATTTAATATTTTTTGTTTAAGTATTATTAACCGGAGCTTCGCTTCTAGCCCTGGCTAAATCTATATGTTAGACTGTATTAATCAGTCACTACTTTAAAACTACGTTTGGACTGATCTGGGATGGTTCATGTACCAGCAGGAAGTTCTGATTTGATTCTGGTCCAGGAACAAAACAAAACTTTAACCGACTCCCCGCCTCTCCTAGACTGCAAAACAGTCGGATTTTCTCTCAAAATCAGTAAAGAAATCGGTAAAGTTAAGCCTCTCCAAAGTTAATCCCCACCCCCACCCCCCGCCCCGAAAACCTCCTTGAGGGAAACCTGGGACCAAGGGAAAAAAATCAAGATGGCGCCTCTGAAAGTTACCCGCGTGTTTAGAGCCTCATGAACTCTATACTGATTTCAATGTTTGTATTGAACTTCATCGACATGACTTAAACGGCTAAGCATTTGGGATTTATCCGTCGTCTTTTGGCTCATTCACATGTACAGAAATGCGCGTCTTCAGCAGCGGGAAGCAAGCTCACAAGTCATTAAGCTTACAGCTTGTCTGTTGGCCCAGACGTTGTAAAGTTAAATATATCAAAGGTAGGCTTTCCTGAGTTTGTAGAAATTTGGTAGAGACTACCATTCCTGTAATTAATGTACGATTGTTTATGCACACATTTCGTGACTAATGTATTAGTCTATTCCAAAATTGGACAGTGCAAAATGCAGACTGCAGACTGACTGCTGACCATTGTTTTCAGGGTTAGAAAACAGTCAATAGGACTTTTGTTGTCTCGTTCTGATTACATGGTGAAAACAATGGCCTGCAGCTGTCTGTAGTCTGTATTTTGTACTCGATATTTGTGTCAATATTTTGACCGCTATGTCAACCGAGTGTTGGTTGATATGTCAGTCGCTATTTCGACCAAGGGGTGCATAAATTATGCAAGATCCTAATTTCCAGAGAGGTCTTGTTCATTTCATTTAACTGGTTGACTAACTGCCAAACTGACTAATTGGTTGACTGATTGACTGACTGCCTAACTGTCTGACTAACTGACTGACTGACTGATTGACTGACTTAATTAATAACTGACCCACTGACTGAGTGACTGTTTGACCAACAGGCTGACTTGTTGACTGACCAACTGACTGATTAATTAACTGACTCATTGACAGACTTTATGGTTGACTTGTTGATTGACTGAATGATTTGCTGACTTACTGGCTGACTGATTGACTGACTCACTGGTTAAAGCAATGTATGACTCATAGAGCACGTACTGTAAAAGCGTCAAATGAAAAGTTAAAACTCTCACATGTCTATTAGTTCTTACAAATGATTTTGTCAATGAAAATCGGCGACAAAAAAAATCCCTTCTCTGGCTTAATTAAGAAGCTTGGGTTGCAAAAAAATGTTTTTGTAAAACACAACCGAGTCAATTATAAACGTTAAATAAATCAAAGCATTACTTTAGCAAAATAGAATCTTAGGGTTAACTTCCGAGATTACTTCAAACCCTCTGGTTACCTTCCCTTCGCCGTGCCCTGTGAGCTTTGCGTTAGATCTCACGGTTTATTATTATAGAATCAAGTCGCTATTAAAATGAAGCTGTTTTAAGTCAGTTGTAGTTACTGATGTCCAAGAATTCCAAAATTAATGTTCCTGTTTCGGGAATCGTAGTTTCTCTGGGATTAAATCATTCTCATTGAGTAAACATTAATTTATCACAGGTAAATAAATGTAACTTAATTTATCACATCGAATTGACGCCTGCTTTTGTGTAATGTTCCTGCCGACTACACAGTAATAGATAGAAGATAGTATACTGTTCGATCGACATAATTGCAAATAATTTCATTCCTCCCGTAAGAATAGATTTAGGCCGTCATTAAAATGTTTCTCGGGTGGTAAACCTTAGCTTCTCGTAATATTTTCTGAGTCGGCAAAGGGTTTATGTTTCATTTTCAATTTCTCTTTAGTAACCGATATAAACCCCACTCTCGTTAAGGTTTGGTTCTTGATCTTCGATTATCCCATTCGAGTGATAGTTATTTCTCTTGCTATCGCCTGCTATAATTATGGTTGTGCGATCAATAAAGAGCGGGTTTTTTTTACAGTAGAGCCATGCCTTGAATACTATTTCGCGTGAGAAGTAACAGTTGACGTGTGTCTCCACGCGAGTAAAGCCAACAAATGCGCGTCCGTATCTGGAAAACCTTTTTATTATGTCAAGAAATATCTTATTTACACGTCTCGTGATTCCCACACCGGGTGTTTTTGGATGCCGGCAAGTGCGAAAAAAGTAATTACCGAGGATTCCAAAGTAACACCTCAGTCGTATGAAGGCGCGAATTGTGATCTCCCGTTTCAGTTAATCATAAGCCATGGGTAGATTCAATCTACCCTTAGCCTAATTTGCATAATTTTTTTTGGTGAGCAAAGCCCGTCATGTGATGACATCATAAAAACGAAATTTCTGAAATTATGGGATTTGTCAGGATATTCTGAAAGAACAAATGTCCTAGAGGCCTACTTACCGAAAATTAGCATTTCGGGGCAAATTGTCTCTGAGATGTTAGCCAGTTAAACTCAGAAAACTCCATACAAACCCTTCTAATTTGTTTTTGGGTCGACCCAAAAGAAATTTAGAAGGGTTTGTATGGAGTTTTCTAAGCGTAACTGGGCTACGATCTCAGGGACAATTTGCCCAGAAATGCTCATTTTTGGCAAATAGGCCTCTTGGGCATTGTTCTTTCAGAATATCCTGACAAATCTCATAATTTCAGAAATTTCATTTTTATGACATCACACTTTAGTACTCTTTTGACATAGGTTTTACATAGCTTTGTGACATAGCACACATAGATTCTACATAGTGTCCGATTCTACAGGGGTTACTAATAGACCTTTTTACCAATACGGCGACCATATTGAATTAATTTGATTTAAGGAGTATTACAGGATGCCCAGGGGGCATGAGCACATTTCTTTTGTATTTTCCAGCGGTCTTTTCTTAAAGTTTTCTTAGAATAAGATTGTAATGGGAAAAAAGATTCTTGTGCCCTGTTTGGATGTAATAATGATCGTCTTTTTCCCAAGAAATATACAGTGAAAGATCATATTTCTAATACTAAACTAGAAAAAGGCGATCATTATTACATCCAAACACGGCGCAAGGATCTTTTTTCCCATTACAATCTTATTCTAAGAAAACTTTAAGAAAAAATGTCCTGAAAAGCGCTCGAAAATACAAACGAAAAGTACTCATGCCCCCTGGGCATCCTTTTGTACTCCTTAAATCATATTAATTCAATATGGCCCCCGTATCGGTAAAAAGGTCTATTGACTCAATTACAGCTTACTGACCAACCAACTGACTGACTTATTGATGGGCAGGCTGCTTGCTGACTGACTGACTTATTGACTAACTAACTGACTGGCTGACTTGCTTAGTGACTGTCTCATTGACTGACCAAATGGACCGCTAGTGGATCAATATACGAGAGTAATCGTTTAATATGCGGATTCAGGAAAAAACCGGAAGTTGCATGGAAGCATGGCCTAAGGGCCCTCATACTCAAAATGGCGACGTAACAACGAGATTCTTGTAAGCAAAAGAAGACAAGTGCTGCAGCCATGCAACATAATCGATGCGAAAATCAGCCTGATCTCACCTATATACCAAAAAAATGTTCATCAGATCCTGAATCAAGTAGAAGGTGGGAAAGAGGACTATTGTCCTTCAGAGCATTTCGTACCAAACG